TTATAACAACAAAGACCCAGGAGGTGAAAGGCAAGAGTCGCACTAATAAAAACAGGATTTCAACTTTAGCCGGACAAGTGGGCTTGTGTGGGTTGCTATAGGGACAAAGCCAGGTGGGACACCCATGGCTGGTAGACGGGTACCCAGCAGTCAACACAACGCCAACACTTCGCTCTGGTTTCAAAATATCTGTCTGAAATTTCTCATTTTTAGTGCTGCTGGTTCTTAACTTATTTCTACTCAGGTCTAGGGGAAAAAAAGTTGCATTAATAATTTTCCTGTTTCCCGACCGACCATAGAAAAACCTGAAGACCCTAAACTTATTTTACTCAGGCCTAGGAAAAAAGTTGTGTTTCCTGTTTCCCGACCAACCCTAGAAAAACCTGAAGACCCTCTAGTAGACTTTATTTGGGGGTGGACACCTGCAAGGGACATAAAAAATAATTTTTCGAACTGATCGACCTTTTCTAGCTCCATGATCTGACACCTGCGTGATAAAAACGTTGTACAATTGGTTTCCTAACATTGACATTGAAAATACAAGTGTCCTCATACAAGTTTTACTTTATTAACGTCCTGTATTGTATACATGTAGGTTGGACCCCTATATATATATTAATTATATAGACATCACTGAAGTCTAAAAATAAGAAAAAAAAGATATCCCTACCTATACTGACCCTATTTTTTTAGGACTGAAACAGGAAACACAACATTTTTTTTCCTAGGCATCACCAATCTACTTTTTGTGATGCAACATCTACAGTAACTGGTAACTTCAACATGTCAAGAGCAAGGTTTTCTTTCAAAATATCTGTCTGAAGTTTCTAATTTTCAGTTCTACAGTTCTTAACTTAATTGCATGTCTTGGAAAACATTTCAACAAATTGAATCCACTTTTATTAAATTAATTTTGTATTTTTAACATGTCAACGGCAAGGTTTGGTTTCAAAATATTTGACCTGTCTGATTTTTAGTGCAGGTGCAGTTCTTAATGTTATTTGTGAGTCTTTGAAAATAGATCATCATTTTTGTGATGGTATTTGGTATTTTCATCATGTCAAGGGCTTGCTTTGGTGTCAAAATATTTGTCTGAATTTTGTGCCACATTATCTCTCACTCATTTAGAAAACATTTCAATAACTTTTTACGAACAGTTTTGGTTGTAAGAGTATAAGAAAATCTGATAAAATCTTAAAGTAAATTTTGCACTATTTTCTAGCTGTTAGGTAGACTAAGAAATGATGTTGATGTTTACATGAAAAGTTTTAAATTAGATTTAGGTTTCAAATCTCTGTAAAAAATTAAGTTTTAGAAGCTACTTTATGCTAACATAAATATGTCATTCATCAAATTAGCACTACTATAAGCCCCTAAAAGACTTCACAAAAACACCACAACTGCACTAAACGTTCCCCTGAAATTGAATGAAAACAAATTTGTCGTTTGCTCAGCACTTAAGAAACCCACTCCACCTTCACCTTCAAGTCTTAAACACTTGAAAATCTTAAGATGCTTAGTGAAAACATTTCAGGTTCTTTCACAAAATAAAATCAGGGAAGTCCGTCCTGAGGCCTTAGCGATTTCACCATCAAAAAAAATGTAGACCCTTCTTTTTCGAAGTTATTTCAACATTAAACATTATGCTAGGCTGAGGGGTGGCTATACACTCAAATACTGTTAAAACAAAACTAAACAGTTACTATATCAAGGCATGTTTCACCCTATGCTGAAGAAACTGGTATGGGCTTAGGAACGGTCAAATACAACAGTTACAGTACTAAGAAATACCCTGTCTGAGAGTTTCTTGAAATTCAATATACTAGAAATCAACAACGGGGGGAAAAAATGGTGTAAAAGAGTCAAACCTGTAATGCCTTTGTCTCCATCAGGCCTATTCTCCAAGCAGAAGTTGACTGGGAAAATTGTGAACTTCTTCTATGTCTATCAACCGACCCAATCAGTGGCCTATTGGCTACTGTTTTGATTGAATTAACTTTGTCACCTAGAGATTGGCTTAGAGACTACAGTAAGTCTACATCCTTTGATTCACCTTCAAGAGTGACTCAGAATCAAGAAAAGTGTTGCCAAAACAGCAGAAACGTTTAAGAGTGCTTGAGAAAAGTACAAGTAAAACAAACTCTTTGGCATCACTGTAACAACATCTCAAAAAAATCAATGCAACAACAACAACGTTACTAAAACTTTCTGCTCAAAAGGCAACAATTTTACATGTAGGTCATCATTTTTCAACCATTTTGAAACGGTCGCTCAAAACGAAAATTGACCAATATGCTTCGGTAAGGACCCCTGTCAAGCTAAAGACATTATAGAGGGATTACATGGCAAGCTGCATCTTTGCAAGCCAGGCGTTCTTGTACTGACATGTTTGCCTTGCCTTGATTAAGTAGACCACACTCCGTCAATAGAAAAGTAACAGACTGTAACATGAAACTTAAATCCCCCCCTTTTCTGTTAGATTGAGAGCGTTAAGCAACAAATATTGCATTTGCATAACTTATTGGCTAATAGATTACAACCCATGATTTAAAACTATGATTTAAAAGACGCACAGAACTCAAAAGACACCTTTTGGTTAACAGTTGTTGCCTTGGTTGAAAAGGTCGATGGTTTGAATCTTTTGCAACAGGACCTAATAGTATAATTTTACAATATAGCTATGTGCAATTAGACACAAAGGCATACATTTTATAGAAGATCATAATGTACTACAAATGTATCAGTACATTGTACAAAGTATACAAATGTATTTATTTAATTATATACTATGCAAGACAAGATTGTCATCACTATGGCTTGTGGACAAGGATGAATAGAGTAAGAAGTACAAACAGGAGTGGCACTCGTGGCTTAAGAAGATTTTGTGGATTTGTTTACCTGTCAATTAGAAGAGTGATTGAGTCCAGGAGAGAAGACTTTTGTGTAGTGTCAGAAAAGAATCTTTTGACTTGTGACCCAATAGAAGTTTGTCAATGACAAATTGTAATTGAGTGAGTGAGTGAGTGAGTGAGTGAGTGAGTGAGTGAGTGAGTGAGTGAGTGAGTGAGTGAGTGAGTGAGTGAGTGAGTGAGTGAGTGAGTGATTTTGTGTGGGTGTGTGAGTGAGCGAGCGAGTAAGTGCGTGAGTGAGTGAGTGAAATGGTGAGATACAAATTTGCAGAGAAATTTCAAAACTAAAGGATAGAGATTACAATCATACATTAGTAAGTGTGTCAAGACAAATTTTAAGAAAAACAGAAAGAAACTAGAAAGGCCAATATTTGCTTTGGAGCAAATACAGCGATGGCTTCACCACATTTTACGACATGGCAGGGAAAGAATGAGAAACATAAGGGAAAACAATGCGTTACATTGATATAACTATAATATGAAGTAACATACAACTAAGACTACAACAGTTGGCTAGCTATTCCCTACATTATTGGTTAGGATTTTTAATTGCATAATGCAAACTGTTGATTTTCAAAAAAAAAAAACGTTCATGCCCCGCATTCCAATGCTGGAGCAGGAAAGCTTGAAATACCTACCAAAACACTTGAATACAGACATACTGTCAGTATGGAAATGGTCTGTGCAGGTGTTAATCAAGTTAAATCCCAACAGCCAATCAGCAAGAAGAAGAGAGGAAAGCTGCATGCCTATTGGTTGATGCCCTGCATTCCATTGTGATGACTCATGCCAAATGTGGTTAACACTGCCCACTGACACAGTAATACATTTGCTATAATACAGCCAAAAAACTCAAATAAAACCATTCTAAAAGCCTGTATCACAAAAATTTAAAAAACGCCTAAGGGTATTTGCCCACTGTACCTCCATACCAAATTTCAGATCCTTAGGCCCCAAAATGAAGAAGCTGAATCCATTTTAAAAAATGGCAGGAGAAGAAGAAGGAGAAGGAGATGGAGAAGAAACATCAGAAAAAGCAATATGGGTTCACCACCACTTCGTGGTGTGGTGAACCCATAATTATCAGAACCTTATGATAAACAAAATACACATAACTTGTGTATACATGTATGCTTCTAAAATCCATTTTAGTGGTCTATAGTAACTCAATACTGTCACTTCAGAATCTCCATTGTATGTTCTAGTTCTGATAATATTATACATTGTATATTCATGGTAATATTGTTTTCTACCCCAATTTTTATTGTGAAAGCAACAGAAACAAAGAACAGCATTGCAATGGCCTGCCCCTCCTTTAAGCCAATTAGTTGGTGGCTAAAAACCTCGTTATCCTAAAGTGGAAAGTCACACAAAGAGGAAGTGGTTTACAGGTCCCCACAGTGACCCTACTTGACCCCTGGAATGTTAATTAAGAGTTTTTCTGAGTTACCATTGAACCATGATGTTAGTGTTCCGCTCTGGTGGGTCTAAAAGGGGTTATGAGTCATCAGAGGCTCATCAAGGGGTTGGGAAAATCGTTGTTATTACAGGTACATTGCAGGTGCAAGGCATGTACTGAGAGAGTACACATGGGGGCTTCCGGTATCCATCTTGGTGAGAAAACTTGTCAGGTGAATATCCAGACTTCTTTGAATGTTGCCTTCTGCCATGTCCTGATTGGCTGGTCAAGTCTGGTTGGTTGGTCCTGCATCAAGCTGCATACTAATTGGCTCACACAAAAAGAATGTGATGCATTCTGATTGGTCAGTCCTCTATCCAGATACTCTCTGATTGCTTGGTCCGTATCTAAGCATTTTGGTCAAGCATTTCCATGCTCCATCATATTTGGAAGTTTCCTTTTTCATCCATTCATTCATTCATTCATTCATCCATCCATCCATCCATCCATCCATCCATTCATTCCTCCACCCATTCAATTGTCCTTCATTCATTCATTTTCCACAATACTGGTATGCATTTCATAACTAACTGTCCATCATCAATTTGACAAGAAAATACAGAAAGAAACAAGACAGGAATGAGAGAATTATACAAGTAACAAGTCTTTCATTCCTTCCTTCGAGTACTTACAGTCTTTTGCAGACATGAGTTGTTCAGGTTCCAGGGGTGATACACTAATGAAGCGGGGGGTGGGCAGCAGGGGACCGTGCTCCGATGGCCAGAAGGGGCCATCCCGGGTCACAATGATGCCGTTCCTGTCCATGTAGATTCCGCTCTTTATTCTACAGGAAAAAGAAGATGATTCTGCGTCAAATTTAAAAATTTCCCATTTTAAACTTTATACCTGTCCCCAAAGGAGTGAAATGTTTTTTTGGCTTGGCCGTCTGATTGTTGGTCTGTGTTTTCATTTGCAATTTCTGTAGTTTGCCCTTGTGTCCTCAGTGCTGCTATCTAATATTTTTATCTGTGGGACAAGTTGAAAGTTCACAAACTTATCATAAGAAGTTTGGTCAAAGGGGGTGAAGTTTGCCATCTCTGATTGCCTTGTTACATGATGAACTGTACGTACCTATAAACTGAAAAAAGGTAGTGGATTATGAATATGAGGGAAAAATCTGCAATGCCATAGACAAATGCTGACAAAGTTGAATACATGTACTTCAATAGCATACTACTAGTAAGTGCATAAGCAATTGTCTAATGCCACCTCCTCACTGAATGGATCAGTCCAAAACCCACACAAATGCTGCATATCCCGACCTTACCAAGTGGTAAAAGAGGGGTGTCCCACCTTGTTTACTTTTTAGAGTTTCTGACTGTCAGTTGAAGCTGTTTGAACCAATTCCTGGTGTAACACATCTACATTTGTAGCATAACAAGCTCCCCTATTACTGAATGAATTGGTCCAATACCCACACCAATGCTGCATGTTGCGACCGTACCAAGTGGTAAAACAGGGGTGTCCCACCTTGTTAAGTGTTTTGAGTTTCCACCCGTCATTAGAAGTTGTTTGAAGCCATTCCTGGTGTAACCCTTAAACATCTCGATCCTTATTGCACGCGGAGACAGGTGTAAACTCGGCGACGGTTGATAGCACTCGGACGCTTCCTTCTCTTTCTCCTCCTCCAAAGCTTTCTTTTCTTCCTTCTTTTCCTCCGCTTCCTCTGCCAGCGCTTCTTCAATACTTCTCTCCAGTCCAAAGACACCTGAAAAAAGTACCCCATTTAGAAATGGTTTCTCCCAAGCTGATGGGATAGACTTATTCTGACCAGAAGCTTCTGGGCAAGTCCACTTGTAAAATAGGGATGTCTTCGGTTGCAAGCTGTCATGATAGAAACTGAAGGGTTAGCAGTAGTTTTGTTAATGTTGCAGTGAATAAAAGTAATATGTGGTGAAAAATAAAGGATAGTCCAAATAAAGAAAATAACTACTAGATTACATGATAAAGTATCACAAAAAAAAGCAATCCAACAGCAAAAAAAAAAGAAGAAAATCAAGAAAATTTAAGAAACTTAGGAAAATCAAACCATGCAATCCAAGAAACATTCAACTAAATAGGTATCAAAGAAATTCCTGATAGAAAGAAAATGCTTACGAAAACATAATCGAAATCATAAAACGAAAAATAAAACCGACCTGGGTACTCATCGTAATTCGATCTCTGTAAGCGTTGGAAGCGCTGTAGTGCGATATGGAGAGGTTTTCTCCGGTGCCGAGCCTTGGCGCGGATTTCTGTGGCCGCCATGTCCACCCTGCTTAACTCATCTTCTTTGTCTTCATCGTCTGAGGATGTATGTCAATCATACAGTCATGTATATCTTTTTTTTAATACATTTATTGCACATTATCATGACATGAAAACACATTTTATACAATACGTATATTCCTACATTTCTACTGGCTTTTCTGGCTAGAGTTAGCTCCCTAGGCCTTTTTAGGGGCCCCCTGTGCTGTGATTTGGACCCCTATGCTGTGATTTGGACCCCTATGCTGTGATTTGGACCCCTATGCTGTGATTTGGACCCCTATGCTGTCTTTCAACCAGCATAGGGTATGTTTTTGGGGGGAAAACCTTCATAAAACTTGCAAAAAATGAAAGTACATGTATAAGATACTTATTACAATAAGAATCTATAGCAAAGGGAAACCTTTACTTCACAAAATCTGTTCCTCAATAAGCGAGAAATAGTGTCTCTGGGGGATATGAGTTTCAAATTTTTTCACTTCAATGCGCGACTTGTGCCGCAAAAGTTGCCCTTCTGTACCTGAACCTTATGCTGTGAAAAAATCCTGGTGAGAACCCTGAAGAAGAAAACTGGCCTTACCTTTGTTTTCACCATGGTTACCGTTGTCGTGGCCACCGTCGCCGTCCTTCAGCCTGTCCTGTTCATCCTCATCAGACAGGGTTCCCCACAGGTTCTGCAGTTTTCTCCGCGCTTTCTCGTGGTTACGGCGGATACGGATGAGAGGGGGCGTGTCCAGGGCCTCCCTCACCTGCCGGTCCAGGTCTTCCTCCAGCCGATGTCTTAAAGAAACACTCCATTCCTCACCTGGAGAAGGTGTTTACACATAAGGCCATGTTGATTAGATTATATAGATGACATCCGGGCGCGCATGAATTTTCGGCCGTTTCAAACAAAAAAAAAGTTTTCAACCATGCTGTAAATCGTACAAACGGTTGCAGAATAAGAAAATATATACCGCAAGTTGCAAAAAAAATATCGGAAAATGATAACAATGTCATAGAATGCCAAAATCAAACGAAAAAGACAAAAATGTAAAGAAATGCATTTGAAGACTGTGTTTGGGAAGAGCCACATCCCATGCACACATGCACATTAAAGAACCCACCGCACTTATCGAAAAGAGTAGGGGACCTTCCGAGTGTGAGTGGTTCAAACCTTACAGTCTGGTGTTACGCAGCTTGAACTTACATGTACAAAACTGGTGTGTTACGCCGCAAGGCGGTTTACCGATTATGCGAAACAAACAAACCTTTTGAGTTCCTTAGTCCGGCTGCCTTTTCCTCTGAGAACCTCACCACTTCCTTCGAAATCTTGGGGTCAAGGTTCAGCGACAGTCTTCTCTCCAACACGCCGACCTTTTCGTTGCCCTCCGTCGGCGCCGAGTGTTCTCGCAGCGACTTCCGCGAATATTCGTCGCTCAGGAACGACGACTTCGCCGTGGAGTTCGGCTGGAAGTACAGTTGTCGTGGCGATAGACTATCGCCGAAGGGAAAGACTTCCCGACTGTCCTCATCAGACAGTCCATCTTCTACGCGTGGTCGTTGGAACATGGTCGTTGCCATGGCAATGAACCGACGATGCTGATTGGTCACGAGGTGGCAGGTCGCATGCTACTACTAGTGGAGGCAAGGATTGTCTTCCAAGCTGCAGTTCCACAGTCAGCTGATAGAGGTCTCTTCTCATCACAGATTTGTATGTAGAATTTCAACGTAGAATCCAACAGGTGGCTGTTGCTGCAGTACCTTATCTGGAAGATAGGTGGTGCTCTCTGACATGCTTCAGAATTTCCTCTAGCTGTTAATCTTGTTCCTCAATTGTCTGTCCTGTATATAAAAAATTAACCAAAGTGAGGAAAGGTTATGGATAAAAATAGACATCTCTTATAAGCAAAATGTAAAATATTCTTATATAAACTTTTTATACAACAAAATATCCTATAAATTGTTTGTTTATTTGCAAAATCATGCCCGAAGGCTAATTGCGTGTACAGTCAATTATACAGAAACAGGAGACAGGTAACAATCTGTCTGGAAGTCTAAAATATAAAGTATGAAGTCTAAAGTATGTCTAAAATATACTAGTATAATTTTTTAAAAGTACATTGTACATGTACTGGATATGTCATCCAATGAACTTCTTTCTCTCTCACTCTAACTCAATCCAGAACTTTTTTCATCGCACACATATTCAGTACCAAGAAGTTGCAACAGCCATTATAGCATTTACACATGCAATCTTTCCACCTGCAGTAATACAACAGGCCAATAGGGGGCTCTGCTGCATAGTTACAGGTGGTTGCCACAACAGTGGGTAAAACGCTGAAGCCGGCAGCTTGCCATGGTTCATTTAGCAGGCACAATAACCGCCCTACATCTAGCCTGAGTTCAGCTCGGTCAAGTTACTGAGTAACTTAGTTCATTTGGCCTGCTATGCTGCCACTCACTCCATCAGAAAATTAGATTTCCTAAAGAAAAGTGAACTTTTCCGTTTCTCTTTCCTTCCTCTTTGTAGCAATCCCATTGAAAGTTTCAAGATGTTAGTTGCATATAGATTTTACAGTTTTCTTTGCACAGTTGCAAGTAGATCATGTATCTGTATGTTACCAGGGCTCGAAATTAAAGGTGGTCCAATGGCTACTGGGACAACTAAAAAGACACTTTGGGACATTTTTGGGACAACAGAAAAATAATCAACATCAGAATGTCAGCCCTTCTTTTGTTTATCAGACACACGTCCCGGCTTTTGGATCCAGAAAAGTCCCCCCAAATTTCCTGTCTACTCTGCAATTATAGTGCGCTTGGGAGTGAACATAAGCAAAATAAAGTTGACTTAGTCATACAATACAATGTACTTCCCAAAAACAGGTTGGGACAGTTCATCCTCCTTTTGGGACAATTTATTTTTGGGACAGTGCTGGGACAATAGGAAGAAAAGTTCGAGGCCTGTGTTACATTTGGAACAAGAGTTCCACGACCTCATACCTGCTGCAGTACCATAACAAGCTGCCAGGTGGCCTCAATCTAATCATTTTGAGGTCTTTGTCAAGACATCCCAAAATAACATTAGTTTTATGAGTTATCATGCTAAACCACACACTCAGAGAAAAACATAAACCTTCTTGGATAAGTAAAAATGTTGTGATATTCCCATGTTGTTATTCAAAAACAAGTCTAATGTAAGTCAGAGTTATACTCAAACAGAAACAGCATTGTTACAACAAGGAAATACCATAATCTCCTAAAAAATGTTATGATATTCCGTGCTCTTATTTGAAAACACTTGTAGATGTGGGTCAGAGTTAAATCCTGACCAAGACGAATCCAGCATTGTAACAACAAAAGGCTTGATCTAATTTAATTCCAAACATCCTTTCCTATCGGGGCACATTGTTGGAAAGAATTCCCTTCCTGATTGAATCACAGCCCAGGGCAGAAGTTAAAAGTCCCTTTGTGTTCAGGCATTGTGCACAACTTACTTCGGATCAAATCAGGGGGGCATTTTCCTTACGGCTAAATTGGCTTTTAGTTCTTAAAAGTGTGTAGGGGGAGAGCCAAGAGAGGTAGTCAGGTCTCGAAATATATTTTTGAGAACACATTTTTGAGAACATTTTTGTGTTCAGGCATTGTGCACAACTTACTTCGGATCAAATCAGGGGGGCATTTTCCTTACCGTTAAATTGGCTTTTAGTTCTTAAAAGTGTGCAGGGGGAGAGCCAAGAGAGGTAGTCAGGTCTCGAAATACATTGTTGAGAATACGGTAATGCCTGATTTTTTTCACAGTACATTTACTTTCAGGTCTCAGAATACATTTTTGAGAATACATTAATTCCTGATTTTTTTGCGGTATATTTATTTTCGCAGTCACTTCAATCTGTACTGCGGACTTATCATCACAGTCAACAAATAATTTGCGGACTTTCTTTTTCCTGCACCTGTTGCCACTGTGAACATATAGTTCAGTGAACACCTTCATTTTTTTCAGACCATGAACTTTTGCTACAGTGAACATAAAGTGAATTACAGTAGCTGCACCAGTATACCTAACCTAAAAAAAATGAAGGCGCACAGAAAAAAAGTTGGGATACATAAAATGAAATAATTTGTGTATGCAAAACTACTAACATTGCTGCCTCTCTTTAGAGCTTGAATCTGAACTTTCTTATATAGCTGAACCAATTCCTCCTAAATTTGCTATCAAGAGTTTCCAGCATCCCCCCATGGAGACCCTCAAGAAAGACATTCTTTTCTCATCATAATTTCTTCTTTGCTACTTTGCCATTACATGACATTGTATAATTAAAAAATACAATACATCCTAACACATACCTGATACAAGAAGAACGGGAAGAGCAGCATTAAAGAAAAAACATTTTTCATAAGATTGCCGTCATAGCGTGTTTCCTGTGCACTTTTGGACAACTGTCAGAGTGGGAGATACTTACCTGTTCTGTACCTCAGGGCACACTTCTCGGACCAATACTATTTTTAGCCGTCTTTGATGACGCTGTCAGAGATGCTGCTCCCAGTATACATGAATGGAAATACGTAGACGACTTAACAATGACAGAATCAAGGCATCGCCTTGAACGTTCCATCATGCAAGAAGAGCTAGATAAGTTCGGTCAGTGGTCCAAGGACAATTACATGCTTCTGAATGGAGACAAGTGTAAGATTATGACTATTTGCTTTTTGAGGATTCCCCCTGCACCGCCGTCACTCAACATTTACGGTTCAGAACTTGAAAGTGTGGCAGTTGCATGTCTCCTGGGAGTCTGGCTCCAGGCTAACCTGAAGTGGGAAACAAACGTAACCAAGATGCTCAACAAAGCAAACGGCCGGCTGTTTCTATTAAGGAGACTGAAACACTTCAACCTCCCTGTGAATGACTTACTGCAGGTCTACAAGTCATACGTGAGACCTGTAGTAGAGTACTGTGCCCCGGTATGGCACCCAGGACTCACTAGTTCCCAGTCAGCTCGCTTGGAGAGGATACAGAAGAGGGCACTGCGCACCATCCTGAGGGGTCAGTACGTGGACTACAACTCAGCCTTGCACACTACAGGCCTACAGTCACTCAGCAGCCGACGCACGGACTTATGCCGGAAATTTGCTTCTAAGATCAACCCTGACCTCCTCCCACCGAGAGGAAGCGAGGAGCATGGCAGGAACACTAGAAATGCTAACAAACTGAGAACTGTGAAGTGTAGGACAAATAGATACCAAAACTCTACCATACCATACCTAATCCGACTGTTAAACGAATGAATAGCAATATGATTTTCAACACAACCCTTCAGAGAACTTGAAGAAGGAAAAAATTGTGACTTATGTGATGAAAGAGTTAGGCCCGCATGTATGTCGTACTGTTCGCGAAAAATATCTATGTGTATTATATATCTATTATTTTAATCATCTTTTAATCATCTGTAACGGAGACATGAATGTTTAAGCCATGACAGAACTGATTTTAAATAGGTAAATTTAATTATCGTTTTTATATTACAACTGAATGACACTTTTAAAGTACTTGTAATGGAATCTGCAATTCAGCCAGAAGGCTGCGAGAGTTTCTTTTCTAATAAACCATTCATTCATTCATTCTTTTGACGCCGTCGAAACGTGCTGTGTGGCACGCTTACATAGCTCAAGATTGCTTGCTGCTTTAGTGTCCTGTAATATTCTATCTTGATATGTTTCAGCCCAACAGTTAGCAATATTGAGCACCAAGACCTACTCTACTACAGTTAAGTCGTACAAAAGTTAGTACAAAACTGAGACCTATTAGCTTTTTGTGGTCTCCCTATAATCCACGTCCAAGCTGCTATAGCACGTTGGGCAAACACTTCTTATCCTTTGCTGTAATAACTCCCCATCAAAAGTATCATCCGTACCCTACTTAGAAAAAGTGGACTCTTCCAGGCAGCATGCAGCCTATTGGAAATAGATTGTAGCACATTCGTAGAGGGGTGGGCAGCCTATTGTTTAGTCGTACCATCCAGCGCCACTTTGTTAACCCAGTCACCTATGTCACTAGTTGACCGGAAGCTATTCTATTTTTGCATTGACCGAAAAACTTCACGCCGAGGAGTGGCAACAGCGAATAAACAAACCGTGAACAGATGTTTACAGACGTTTTTTCCTACCGTCATCTCGTGAGGGCCTTACGTCAATTCCAGCGATCATCAATCTCCTTAAAAACCCCTTTGATACCCTTCTTTCACAAAAACCCTATTGAAAATATGAAAGGGTTCTTTCTTACAGATACCTCAAAGTATTACTTTGATCTATATTGTTAATATAATTATAACATTCACAACATTTCAGAAAGAAAGAAATGTTTGTAGTAAGGATTAGTTTTCGCGGTCTTTCAGTGGACGTAATTAAAGTTAAATATTCCTTAATCCGTTCTCAAATATAAACTCCCTGACAGTGTTTTTGCATGACCAATTTGTCTGGTAAGAAACTATTAAATATACTTGGTAGCCCAAGCATTAAGGAACTTGGTCAAACAAGCGTCTTCAAAGGATCTGTTTGAATTAGAATTCTATTCCACAAGGACAGGAATCAACAGATTAGACCTCAAATTACCTTCACCTCAAAGCACTGGGTTTTAAAGGCACTCAGTGCTAGTTTTTAGCCAATTTAGGGCTTGGAAACCCAATTTTTGAGAGCCAATATTCATAATTTCTAGTCAGTTATCTACATACTGAGTTGAAACCACACTATCCCAATGTATATTGACCTCATGGAGCAAAAATTCTCAAAATTCTGACGGAAAATGGTTACTGGAAGGGCCCTGGGTTGATTTATAAGTGTACCACCCAAAAAATAAAGGACTCCTCTTGGGGCTATGTTTCTACTGAGTTTTAAATCCCAAAAGATTGAAATGCTGACTCAAATGTGACAGCAAGGTCCACTCTGCGATAGTTCTAGGAAAGAAAGTGTTCAAACACCTCAATCTGGTACTTGAAGGTATAGCAAAGATAAGAAAGTTGAAAAGTTGAAAGAAACACAGCAAAGACAAAGTTGTGAATGCTGATCAATGAAAAATGGACACATTGAAGAAAAAGTCACTGTTCAAGTTGCTACCATTAGGCCACACCAATTTAATTTCTTGGTTAACGGATTCGCCCGCTTCATTTCTTTCTGATTTGCAAAAAAAAAAAATTCAGAATCAACTGCAAAATGCTCATATTTTGCCCTGAACAGTTGAAAACAGTCCTTTTCTTCCTAGTTGTTACAGTTATTCCATCTTTCAATGCAGTGGTATCATTAAAAGTTCAAAATTCATTGTTTAAATTTTGAACCAGCCTGGTGTGTTAACTTCATGGCTCCTATCATACCATTTTGGGCCATAATAGGCCTAGGCCTGTTTTTATTTTATTTTTTTCGCCCGCCCGCTCCTTTATTTTTCTACAAAAATCCTTTAACCAAAAATTAAATTGGTGTGGCCTTAGGTTCAAGTTCAAAGCTGAGTTTGACCTGAAAGTCTAGACTCCCTGGTGCCGACAAGAAGTGCACTTGAGGGTTTTTAAAGACACAGCTACAATATCACACTTCAAGTACAACTGTGCACACTGTAACACCGCAGAGCTGGCAATGCCCCAACTCTGAATAAATGGTAACTCTTCATACATAGAATACCTGTATAAGTTTGAAAGAAAATACGTATAAGTTATAACCAACTATGAGGCTTGATTCACCATAGTAAATGAATTAAATACAACAATTTTTTGCATACAATGTACTAGTACCTGTACTGCTCTAACTGTTAATATGGTCTGAACACTGCAGTCCCAATATTATATAGTCTATTAATATTTTCCTGAGTATAAGACAGGATGCGCAGCAATATATTCATCTATAATTTTTGTGATTATGACTATGAAAGTATCTGTATCTGTATCAATGGTAGAACCGCCCTTTGATGTAACACACTAGCTTCACAGGCACGTGGCGCGGTGGCAGCTGGCTACAATACACCGAACGACTTGTTTCACCCAACCTAGTACTAGTACATTTATATACACTAAATATTGTAACCAAAACAATTATGTACAACAATGTATCTAGCATCTATCTTGTAATATACATGTAGCACTATATATTCTTACTAAAATTTATCTTACAAGTAGTGTAGACACATACCTGTACCTTACCTGTCTGCCCAGGTGAGGTGATATCTGACAGGTGTGGGAGAGTAGGCAGGTGAGGAGACAGGTGTTCCCACCTTACTGTTACACCTGAGTGTCCACTTTGAACCTTGGTCAACAGTAGGGACAAACCACGACATATTTTAGGGGGGAGTGGGTATAAAATGACAAGTACCCAGATTGGGGACAGTTTTTCGCTTTTCAGTCCTTTAAAAATGTTTTGAAAATGTTGAGTAGGATAGGTCGACATTAGAAATACCAGCACAACAAGTCCAGCCTGAAAAATGATTCCATGTACGGAGATACGTTTTCTATACTGATATCTTATTTTGAATCAAGAAGGAAAATTTACAAGGCGTACGTGCAGGAACGAAAGAGGGCCATCGAGGGTCACTTGAGTCCTCAGGCGATTGTCACTCTGGTTGTCGACTGACTGTCATAAATCAATAGAGATGTGCAATCACCTGTTCTACTGATGACAATGGTTCTTGCTACTTAAGATTTCTTTTTATTTTGGGCTCATCCACATATATACCAACATTGGGTATAGCTTACAAAATAAGTCAAGTACCTGCATGTATATTATGTTACCTGTCAGATTGTTACCTCCGTAAAAAATGGGGGTATTGTTTTTGGTCTGTTTGTGTGTGTGTGTGAGTGTGTATGTGTACATGTATGGGTATGTGCTTCTGGTCAGCATAACTTTTAAAGGCTTGAATGGATTGTGATCATATTTTGTATGTGGTTAAGTCTTTTAAAGCAAAGGTCAAGGTCAATTATGGACCCCCTGGCACCTGTCCCTGGTACTGCAGCAGAATTTCTAGGGTGTTGTATCTTTTGTCCCGCACATGCTAGGGTCTTGATACAATGTATTTTAGAGGCAGATAGCTTTTAATGTCAGGAAAAAAGGAGTGTGGCTTTAAATTTGGTCTCCTTAGCAGATTATTCTGGAACAGCAGAGGGGATGTGGTTCAATTCTTTTAAAGAGGAATAAAATTTATGGAGGTATGATATCTCCAAACTGTTGTTTGGTTGGACACAACAGAAGGTGAGAAACAAAGCCTTAAGCATAGGCCAGCACATTGGTGGTCACACTTCAGTAGGCCCTGTTCCAAGACCCGGTTTACACGACGACAAAAACCTGGCGTACGATAATGGCGTACGCACGCGATCGTACGACAATTGCGTACGACCATTTTTTCCAGCGTGTAAACCGGCCCCACCTATCGTACGCACCTATCGTACGCAATTTGCGTACGCCACCTCGAAGGCAGGCGTACGATCGTGTACGATCGCCCAGCGGGGAGTCAGGATGCCTCCCCGCCTCGTGTAAACGCGACTGATCGTACGAACGGCGTTCGCAAGCACTTCCCTGTTGCAGGAGGTCAGGGGTCATATGCAAATTCCATTCTTCTTCCCGCGCCTGTGAAAACCCACGCCGTGTTACTGATCTTTACTCTGTTTTCTCTGATCCGTTTCGGTTTTCCTTTTGTTTTTTTATCGTATTTGATTTGTTTGTTGTTTTGCTGAGCCTGTTTGCTCGCGACTGCCGCAACTGACCATGGCAGAAGTGCGCAATAGCTCTAACTGTCACATTCCCACACTGACCGATCGATCCCGCCTTGAGCTTCAATGATTGCAATGACTGCAAAAATTGCTGCCCGTTGGATCTCATGGTACCGCTCCCTGCGACGTCCAACCCTTCTTCTACGCAATGCCCGGCGACGCAAGTACATCCGCGAAAAGAAGAATAGCAACATCTGACGCATGAAGAACAGAAAAAGAGCCTGTTCTCCCGCCATTTTGAAAATAGCGCAAAGCTCGCGGCGGGTCAAATGGGGTCACGATAGTGTGGAGCGCTGCGGGAGTCCCGGCGCTGTCCGTCCCGCTCCGTGTAAACCGAAACGGACGTACGATCGCGTGCGTACGCCATCATCGTACGCCAGGTTTTTGTCGTCGTGTAAACCGGGTCCAAGTTAGTGCAGTCTGGTTGTTTCAGATGTAAATCTAAATGGGAGGGTGGGGCAGAACTAATCACCGTGACAGAAAGCATCAGTACTGTCTCCTCTGTCACTAATTGATTCAACACTTTGAGTAGACAGGATGCCAGAC